GTTTTAGACCGACTTAAAAAACCTAACAACCAGTTTGAAAACAAACAAACTAAATTTTTTTACTGAGATGAAATGACCGAAGAAGTTGAAACGGTAGATTTTGACACCACAAACAAAAAAGTTCAGAACCATTGTCAAAACCCGTCAAAGAACTTACAGATGAAGAGAAAAATTCAATAATAGAAAGTGCCAGGTCTGGAAATACAAACCCTAACTATAAAGTCACTTTTCATAGAAATGGAACGACTAGTATCTCAAAAAAAGAAACAGACTCTCACAAATAAAATATTGAAGTCTGAAGGAGCTTTCGAGACAACAGATGGAAAAGTTTACTTCACTGACCAACAGTTCATTATAGAACATCTCATTGACTTAGAGTCGAAATATTCTAAACTTTACAACAAACACAAAAAGTTGAAAAGGAAAACAAAAACAAATGGCATATGATATTTATGAAGATGTTGACGACACAACTGTTCCTGCAAGTGAAGTAAAGTCAGAGGAACCGAAAAGTAACGAAAAAACCGATAGAAGAAGAAAACCAAAAACTGAAGATAACCAAAACCAAAGTTTTAGTTTGGAAACTAAACCAAGTCAACCTTCATTAGCTGGTATGGGTTGGCGTCAAAGACTTATGGCAGCAGGCGGTTATGTAAAGTAAAGAAAAATATTTTTTTTATTTTTTATAAAAATGCCCCCATATAGAATGGATAGAAAGTCTGCTAAGAAATAAAAGCAGAGTTACAAAGATATGGTTGGAGAGTTTTCCGAAGAGAATTTTTAAATATAGGAAGGGAAGACCCATAAAAGTCTATGACAAATTGTCTGGTCTTCGCTAACGAAATGGATTTTTGGAAACAGCACGTGCAAATTATCCAAACAGAACTAGAGAGGTTAGAATAAGAACACTCTTATGGACATGCCTTTCGATGTTAGTGAACCTCAAGTTTGAAGGACACGACGGCTTTGCCAGATTCTACTGGAAACATGACGAACAATTGCAATCCTTTGAGAAGGAAAAAAGGAAAAGGTGAAGACGCACATGCTTCCATGGAAAGAACAAGATATGCATAATGAAAAGTATCGTGAAGTTAGAAGTCAAATTACATCTGGTCGAACCTTTACAGTAAACTTTGACGAAGGAAAGAACAAAAAGGCTTCAATGGAGTACTTGGCTGGCAATTCAAGAACGGAAATAGAGAAAGGACACAAATCCTCAGATTACCATAAACAGAATTTGGATGGGCACATTTATCTATGCACATGGCAATGAACAAATCAGCCGCAAAACCTTCTTGACGCTTTCCAAGAACTACAAAGAGAGAACAAAATGGTTTGACTCCGACCTCAGACATTTGAATGCAAATTGCAGGGAATTGCAAGTGTCAAGTTCGAATGGTACCAAACCTAACCTCAAGCAGTCAAGACAACATGCTGGATACTTCCCCTTCATAAATAAGGTACTACATTGACTTTGACAAGGGGTAAATGGAATTTTACATTCAATTGAAACAATTGTCAATGAACCTTGCATTCTACATGTCTCAGGCATCTGCGTCTTGTTCAGATTAGAAATGAAGTATCTTGAGTCAATGTGAAGACCAAGGTAATTCTCAGAGGTCCAATTGGCAAAAATTGCAACCGTGTGGCAAATGGTCAATATCCGAGTCAACATACCTACAGCTAAGGTTCTTCACAGTGACGACTAATGTTGTTGAACTAAAGACTTACAATGGTTGAAGCATTGTAATTGTCACAACACCCCTTCAGTTTTGAACGAAAGTCTTAACAAACCCATTCTTTGGTTAAAAGCTAAGTGCAACATTGTCAGAGCCGTAAACATTCCTTTTCGAGAAAGGTTTTGTTGGAACCAAATTCCAGAATGACAAGCTGACAGAACTTTTTTACCAATAAGACGAGAAACCCAAACTTTATACATTGTTAGCAAGATCTCAAAAAGTTGTTCCTCAAGACAAAGTTCAGAACAAAAGAAGTACACAGCCCGTTCCACAAGGGGTTGGTATGTTTCGGATACCAACCTGAAACAGAAAGAATTCCAATGAAAGTGTATGCAAAGAACCTTCAAGATGCTATAAAACAAACTTACCATTGAGACATCCAATTGACGTCAAATTGTATTGGACGAGCATCTGAGGTTAGGTCAGAAAGGTTTTAGATATGAAATCAGGTTCTTCGATCGATGTTTATGAATAACAGGATGAAGTTTCTCGAGAAAGATAAAGAGACTACTTGAATCTTCCACAAACTTGGACCAATTGGTTGCCGACAGTTCCGACTCAGATAAAAGTATCATACTATGTCGACCTTAAACGCTGGCATAACATGCAAGGTTTGTCCAATTCATATTCCCGACTGCGAATTCCAAACGAAGAATGGTGAGTTCCCGGAAGGAACATACAGTTGGAAAAGTCATACACAACAACTGTATGATATTAAGGAAAGCCTTCAAAACCCGCAAACCTGTGCAATGACACTCTAGAATTGCTTATGAATTCGACATGGGCGATATTCCATTAAGAAACCTCAAGAGATGAAGAGTAACATTATGAGAAAGGGTTCGACAACTTTGTTCGAAAGGTTATTCTCCTTTGTTTTGAGTACGGAATTCACTCAAGGTCAAGTGGCCCTTAGTAACGCACATTAAAGCCTATTGTCCGAAATTGGTCTGTCCTCAGTTCGCAAACGGCCAAGTCCCTTGACAACTAACAACAATTCCTTCTCCGAAGTCAAATCCAAAGAGTGAGAAGGTTTACTGAGTAAACATTGGACGCACTCATGACGAACGAAGAAGGATACAACAAACTCATTGATAATGGGAATGGTTGGTGAAAAGATGGGTCAATTTCAAATTGGACAAAATTTTCACCGAGAGTTCATGTCCCTCATCCAAAGCGTAAAATTTGGGCATTACTTTGAAGACGGCATCAGTGTAGTGTAATTAAGACATGCATTGCAATGAAATTGAAGAGAATAGATCTTATTGTGGAATATGTACGCGAGTTTGTTTCGGGCGTGACTCGTAGTTTTTGGTGAAAGACTTGGACTTTTGTTCAGATGAGATAATAATGAAATGGCAATACCATATTTTAAAACAAAATTTTTACATATATTAACATGCTATCAGGTTGAAAAACAAAGAACAAAAGTTAGCAGATACAAAACCGTTTAGACTATATTTTTACAAATGCTGGTAGGCACTATTTTCAGAATGAAGAAATTTCATCCGAGCATAAGGTTTGACTATCCAATTCGTGGCTTTCAAAGTCCTTCAAGATGCAAGAGGCAATAGGAATTTTAGAAGAGTTTTGTTTTCAAATAGAACTAACGCATTTAATGTTTCGCAAGTAATAATTTCATGGCAGTAATATAAAGGTTCTGATGGTCAATAGACAATATTTGACGAAATCGAGAATCTTTACAAGTTCGTTCAGACGAAAGTCTTGAGAAAACTCTAAATGACTTTCAAACTCAAGAACAAATATTATATGGGAATTTAAGAAAAATACGACTCTTTAACTAAATGGAAACATCTATCTGAACTAGAATATGACAACGATGGAACTCCCACCGTTTCAATTTCAAAAGATTGAATTAAACCCTACCAAGAGATAACAGAGTTTTTAATTTTGGGAAGTAACAAACGTTCTTGGGCCAATTTCTTCGGTTTACCTAAAACCAGTAACGAACCTTACCACCAAATGTCCATTTATAATTTATAACTTCTCAGCCAGCCAAGTTTGATGGATCTTGTTGAATAGAAACATAGTTTGACCACCTTCAATGTTATGTAGTCATGCAAGTTTAGTTTCAAGCAACAATAGTTTTCTATGTAATTGGTAAGATTTTATGACTTTGCCTTCTAAATTCTACGAACCATCTGAGTAACAGTTTCTCTGACTTTCAAGTTTGTTTCACATTCCGCTCTTAACTTATTGTGTCTTGTTAGGCAATGGCAACCATATTATTTTCCATGTACTATGACTTTCTCTTCGAATTGTCTTTCATATATACGTACGGAAAAGTGGAACAAAGTATTGAATGTGGAAGATATTAGAAAATAACCTTTTTCTAGACAATCGTAGAAACACTCATGGAAAACATTTTTTTTGAACACTTTCACAAAAAACATAAAAAAAGTGAGTTAAAATTGAGATATTTATCTGAAGCTGAGATTTGGAAATTCTGCTCAAGGGTTCTGTAAGAATGGTTGCACCAGAAAGTGGAACAGTGCTTCTGAGAATTTGTATAATTCGTGGAATTGGAATTCTCTCTGTTTGGAAGTTGTATCCATGGGCGCTTTGCAAAGAACTTGAGAAGAGCTTCTTTCTTCATCTCCTTTATGTCGTCGGTAGGCTGTCCCGTCTGGTATTTGAATTGGAATTCCAGTCGAAGTCTCGGAATTCAAAGGCAGCCCTTCCCGTTATCCAACCGTTAACAAGCCTTGCCTTTTACATCTCCTGAGGAAGTCTTTCAAGCTCGTTAATTTCAATTAGGTAAATTGCCTCGTCGGTAGGTTTCGACTCGACCATTGCTACTGTCAGAAAAACGTTTACTGCTACTGTCAGTAAAGTACTGCTAGGAGCAGTAAACAACTGCTACTGTCAGTAAAAGGAAATTTGAGAGGGTTTTTCGACGATAAAGTACTGCTACTGTCAAGAAAAGTACTGCTACTGTCAGTAAAAGTACTGCTACTGTCAGAAAAAATTACTGCTACTGGTCATAAAAGTACTGTATGTCAGTAAAGTACTGCTGACTGTTCAGAAAAAGTACTGCTACTGTCAGTAAAAGTACTGCTACTGTCAGAAAAAGTACTGCTACTGTCTAGTAAAAGTAACGTGCTACTGTCAGTAAAAAGTACTGCTACTGTCATGAAAAAGTACTGCCTAACTGTCAGAAAAAAGTACTGCTACTGTGCAGTAAAAGTAACTGCTACTGCCAGTAAAAAGTTACTGTCTAAGTAGCAAGAGACTTTTATTACGTTGTGGTCCGACAGGACACAAACGAATGTCCGGACGTTCCACCAGAACCGAGTCCATTCCCACAAACCAGAGGAACTAAAGGAACCGACATACAAGTCTCTCAGTTCCAACAAGGACCTCGAAATTACTACCAATTTTCCAACCTCAAGGTTACTACCCACCACACAAGGCTTCCGAACCTACCTCCTCAGCCTATGCCTTACTGCCCCAACCTTGGTTGTTCCAGCAAGGCTCACCAGCAAGCTCCACCCCAGGCAATTCCAATCTCATGTCCAAGAGAAGACCAGAGACTGCGAAGAAAGGTCTAACCGCTTACGCAAAAGAGTATGCTAACAGCTCCAATTGAGAGAATAGTTGTTCCGGACCAAAAAAATAAATCTGGTGGAAGAGGTTGAGATTCAGCCTCTTTTTCACCTGTTTTTTTCACCCTCTTGTAATTTTCAGAATTTTAATATATTGAATGTTTTCGTTAGCACTTTGTTGCCGTCAGTCAGTCCAGGTCAGTCAGTTTAGGAAAGACCTTTTAGAAAAGTTGGTTGGAAAATAAGTCCTGGGAAGACGTATTATAAGGCATTTTTGCAAAGAATATAGCAACAGTCTGAAATGTTCAGACGGTTGCTTTTTATACAAAATCTAGGCAGGAAATTCTTGAGTTTTGGTTGAAAGAAAGCGTGGAGCAAAAGTGGTCTCGAACCTCAAAACAAATGAATTTTATGGCTTACCTAAGGTGTGTTATGAATCGAATTCAAATGTATTTACATACATCCTAACTTCGTTCATTTTGTTGCTTGAATTCATGGCAAAAATATAATTTAAGGTGAGAAGGTGAGATTTCACCTCTTTTTTCACCCTCTTGAAATTTTCATGAATTTCCTTAAGATAGGAAAAAATTAAAGTTAGTTTTATTTTTATTTATTTTTTTTATTTTGTTATGTAAGAACAGATATGTCAAACATGATCGGCACAACAACAATTCAAACAACTACAGCACCAAAACTCTCGTAGTCATTGAATCACAAACATCATAATGTTAGTAGAAATGAAAAGCTCTCATTCTTCTTCATATACTTTTGAAACAGAAAATCCAGAGATAAAGCGAAAGAACTTTTAACAAGTAATTAGAAATGTAGTCTGGCGAAAGATAAACAAATTGAACAGTAACATTATGAAAGCAGGACATTATTGACCACTTTACCCAAATTGCATGGAAATCCAACAACAAAAAGCTCAACTATTCCTGAATTCGATGAGAATTGAAGTCAAAGCAACGAACTCAGTAGAAATTAAACAGAAGTTCATACGAAAGGTTAATGTATGAATTCCTTGGTTTCCACTTGCAACCATAAAGTTATGGACAAAGATTGCTGGACATCTGGTAGATATAAGACATCTCTGACATATCATAAATCTGCGGGAGGTTTAGAGTATACGACAACGTTGTATTTCATTAGCTGCAAAATGTTGCTATGGGCAGATAAGAGATTAAAGATAGAATAGAGGTTAAAGGTATGGAAATGAAACAGATAAAAGCCAACATGCTTCAGATTTTAACAAAAACATTTGACGCCATTGTTAGTTTTAGCAGGATAAGGTTTCAGAATATAACGACAAAAAATGAACCCCAATGTTCTAAATGTAACGGACCAATAAGAAGAATTATACTTACTCCGTCAAAGAGATAGAAAGAATGCGAAACGACCTATGCAGATTTAAAGAAAAGAAGCATGAGAAGCGCGAGATAGAAGATAAAATGAACATGTTAGAATTTCTGAACAAAACTATCCAACTGCTGACGATTTCCCTTCTATCTGACGTCAAAAGACTGTCATAAGAAGAAACCTTTCGTATCGTTTAAAACATTCGATGTACTAAAAGAATGAAATACGAAGCTACAAAACTGTTCTAGGATTTTCAAATATACAATCGTACCAAATTCATGTGTAAAACGCTTATAAAATAACTGGGGTGAAAAATTAGGTTGAAAAAACAGCGTGAAAATCCTCACCTTCCACGTGAAACATTATTTTTGCTGAAAAATTGACGCCAAATTTTCAATTTTGAATTTTAATAAGATTGCTCCCCTTCGGAAAACCGAGAGAAGAGATTACCGTAACGAAAAATCGCAAGAATTTCGCCTCCTGGTTTGTGAAAAGGATAATTTAATTCACATAGACTTTTTTGTAAATGCTTCTTGCAATGTGGACTTCACCCTAAACATTATTTTTATTGAATTCAGCAACAAAATCCATGAATTCATAAGATAAGAAAAAATAAAGTTAAGTTTTATATTTTATTTTATTTATTTTTTTTATTTTGTATGTAAAGAACAGTATGTCAAACATATGAGTTTGAAAACAGTTAGAAAGACTCTAGACAATGACACCAAACAAGTGGACTTAGAATAGGTGATTTAAACGAAATACTCAAGAAAACAACAAAATATTCTTTGTCAGAACATTATTCTCCAATCTGGAAAGAAAAACTCAAAGGACTGGGTGTAGAATTGCTTCTACTCAGAAAATTTTGACAAGAAATCCTGAGGCTTATGATATCGGTGTAGAGATTCTTGGAACTCTACAGCACATATTACTCATTGACAAAAGTCTTATACCAAATAGTTTCTGTTATGGATTAGGAACCAGTTTTGTGGATATGAACTTTCATAACCATTATGGTTCATTCGATACGGAACGTTGCAGTGAAGGCTTACTTTACATCGTTCAGAAACCGAAGGACTTCAATACAAAGAGATATTACAGATAGGAAGACATATAATTAACTCAAAGATATGGACAGTACAGTCAGTTAGAGTCAAAGGTTGTAGTTTTGCTAATGATATGAGGGCTGCAGAAACAGAACTACTTGAAAGTTTGAGAAAATGTTACTGGTGCTCCCATAAAAGTAAAGAAACGTTTGAAAGTAGATGAGATAGATAAAGCTTATAAAATTATTTGAGAAGTTGCTTGTAAAAATACTGTTAAAGGCGTTTATTTTTTGTTCTTTTGTGAAAGTCAGAAAATAAAAGTTAGTTTTTATAAAATATTTTTTTTATTTGTATTGTGAAAGACAGATATGTCACAAACAGGAAAACACAACAACAGTTATATCCTGAAGCATAAATGGAAGAATACGGTGTGGTTTCAGTTTAACAAACAACCTCCGTTCTCATTCGTTCGGTCATAAGACGAATATGTACAAATGCAAAGTATTTTGAACAGGCATGTTTTTTTGCTCCAGATTATTCTTAAGAAACCACAGACTGGTTAGGTATATCCAATAAAGCACACAAGAACATTTTTGAGCGAAGGGCAACAGCGAGACATACTTTTTCTTGAAAAACCAGTGAAAGAACAGCGAGTAAGTAAAAAAACCGCAGTCGCCAAAACTCATGAAAATCGTGAAGACAGGATAAGTAAAAACCGCATCCCCAAAACTCTATGAAAAACAGTGAAGAAACAGCGAGTAAGTAAAAAACCCCAGTTCGCCAAAAACTCTATGAAAATCGTGAAAAATTGCCAACGGTTTGAGAGGATATTATGTACATAGACTTCTTGTAAATGCTGTTGCATGTGGGCTTCGCCTCGTTATGCTTGGTATATTTACAGACTTCTTGACGAAATTCATAGACAAGAACGTGAAGAGATGGAAAACAAGCTTGAAGCGAAAAGACAAAAGCATTCAGGAAAAGAATACCAGTCTCGGTACCAAAAGGTAAGGAAAGAACTAAAGTATATGATTTATACTGAAGAGATTGGAAAATGAAGAAGATTAAAGATATGGTTATCTGTTTGGCATGTAGTCAG